AGATTCGAATACTATGTAATACACACGTATATTTATATATGGGTACTTTTTTATATCTACATCTATACTCGTATAGTAATGAATGAACGAGGCGAGGCCGAAAAATAGCAGTGATCAGGTAGCGATGCCAGTCAAATTAATGAATTTCCAATATTTTTCCTAGAGACAATTTTATTTAGTCGGTACTTGAGGAAAAGTAAAGAATTTGAAGTAATAAGACAACTGGAAATAGTGAGTATATTTATACACAAACACTAGTTGTTGACAAAATCGATTTTGGCATCTTTTGTAAGGAATCATCAGAAGTTAATAAGTGATAACTGTTGAGACTTTATATAGTTTCACTAAATATTTATACTATAGCATACTCCAAAGTTTCTATGCAATTTTTTTCCAGAACGATCTTGTTATACTTTTACGCCTAACCTCATATGCGTACACTCATGCCGTATATAATAGCATATTATAAAACTTGCAAAAGAAAACTCACCGTAAACTGTGAGCAGCGCTGGGTCACTGAGCCTCTTGGCCGCTACGTTCTCGGCCACACACGTGTAGTTGGCCGTGTCCTGCAGTCGAGCCTGGCCGATCAACAGGTTTCCCTCGCTGGACACGATCATGTTGTTGTCCGGCTCGATAGCCACGTTGTTTCGTAGCCAGTACACCCTGGGTGGTGGAACGCCGTCCGGCGGAAGGCATCGGAGCTCAACGTTACGGTCCGTTTCTACACTCACCGAATACGGTACGGACGTGAACGGTTTCTTCAGGTCTGCAAAAAAAAAAACCACGTTTAAGTTACACTCGTAAGAATATAATGTGCACATGATAAATATCTAATTGCGGGAGTTGTACATACTACCTAGGTACCTATAGAATTCTGTTTATAAATACATTTGTAAAAATAAACTAGCAGTAATTTAAAAGTGTCTGGTGCCACTAAAAACTTGACGCTCGGGACTGCTATAACACGGCGCCAAGTAGGATGCACATATTATTATATTATACAATATTGTTTAGTTTAGGCGATTTTGTCCTAAACTCCATTACGCGCTTAAATACACCGTCTTTAATATATTATAGTTTCGTATTATTATATATAACGTCATATCATACTCGAATATTATATACAATGCCCATACGATAGCGTATCCTATACATAATATATGTGTGTGTACGACAAATAACGGCGAGACTATATATATATATTATAACATTAAACTCTCCGAGCTATAATAACATTATGTATATAGAAGTCGGTCCCACGCATTAAACGAAAACAACGAAATTCGATACAATGAAAACGTTACGTGTACATATATCGACGGCGTTGAAACGCATTAAGGATAGAGCCCTCCTCTCTGAAATGTGTATATTATTATTCTTTTTTTTTTTAGCGAAACTGCCCGCGTTCATGTCACAGTGGCTGCAGTCGCGTTCGCCGTGTGTATATACTTTGTTTATTTTGTTAGTCATACGGATTACACAAATATACGAAAGACATATGCGTGCTCCGTGCGGAGAAGCGCTCGCGTATTCCGGGAGACAATCAATCAACGACGCAGCGTTTCCGAGGGCGCGGCGGCGGTATCCGTCCGCTGCGAGAGAGACCGCGGAACATATACATCGGCTCCGATTCACCGCACGAAACAAAACAAAAACGACCGTTTCCCGTTTCACTTCATACATATAGGTGTATGTGTATGTATGTGTGTATGTACTATATACGTTCTCGGGCGGGACGACCCATTAAGCCTATGCAAACATGCCCACGACGTATATTTAAGGAAGGATTTATACATATTATTTTCCCGAAACGAGATATATACAAAACTCTGCACACACCACGTATATGTGCGAGTGTGTGTGTGTGTGTGCTTGTGTGTGTGTTTTAATGTAAACGTATATCTCCTCCGAGGAAATACGCTGCAGCAGCAGCAGCAGCAGCAGCAGTAGCAAACGTATAGATGCAGTGAAACGGGTCCGGCGGCGGCGGAGCGTGGTATCTACCTATATAAAATTATATGCTATACTGTATTGGTACCCCTATATGTGTAGGTATATACCAACACGATATATGTATACTAGCTGTATATAGTCTCGGTCGACCGCAATAATAGTCGAGTCCAGTGGTGCACCTGCCTTTGGGGTCTTTGTTGTCGGATGAGTATATTATTATTACTATCATACGCTGTGTATTTATAATATACACGCTATATGCGAGTGCATACTTAGGCATATAGGCGTAGAGTATACACATATAGGACACAGACGAAGACTGCGACGACGACGACGACGACGGACGGCATCGACCGATTTATATCGAAACCGTATTATTCCCGTGCCGTCGGTATGGGTAGTAATGGAATTCGTATTGTCTGAGACGTGATTAATGAAAAAAATATATACATATAACACCCGACAATGGGGGAGGGAAGTCGATTACTCTGTCGCCCGACGCGTACAAATACAGGTAATGAATTCGGTCGAACAAGGAGCTTCGCATGAGGTGTAAAAGTAAATAACAATAGATTTTGATTGATGATGTCGAAGATTAATCGAAACCGGCTACCAAAACAACAACGCCTAAAAAACCATTCGACCTGACCGTAGGTACCACACAACATACACGATAGCTAGGGACGACACGACGACGACGAAGCCGCCTCGTCCATAGCGTGGAATCCGCAGCGATAAAGTCGAAGACTTTCTTCCAGATGTTTACTTTTATTTTCTTCTTTGAGGTATAAATCAAATTATTGTACCTAAGTTTACGAGAGAAAGAATAAAAAAAGAAGGAAAAAAACACTAAAGAATAAGAAGATAAAAAACAACAACGCAGCGAGCTAAGAGGACAAAGAGGGAAAGAAAAAAAAACCCGTCCACCGGAGTTTATATTGCCAATAATTTATCAGATCAAACACACAGCATTGCACGACAGTATGTGTGTGTGTGCACTGTACAGTTTCTCTCTACTTCTCCAACCCTCTTAATTGCAGCTCCAGTTAATAAATCAACGTCAGGCTTCAATCCAGCAGCCGGTTGACACGAGTGAGAACTATTATATACGGAAGGATATAATAATATAAAATATAGGTAGTATAGGTATACATATCACTATAATAAATATATATATATACACATATTAAAGCGGCAAAACCCGCCGTTATGTTATATACCTTTGCCGCTTCCTATATAATGCATGAAATATTTATAAAATAATAATAATAATAATAATAATAATAATAATAATAATAATAGGTAGTTACAAACTCGCGATGACCTAACCTCCTCTGTCTCGACTAGATCGATTCAGTCGGTATAAGTACACACAACGACGTCTTACCTCCCCCGTCGTGTGACAAAAGAACGACGTTTTTTTTTATTATTTTTTACTTTCATTATTATCATGTATAATTTTTGTGGGCGTCAAACACACACGCAACAATAACGATAATGGGAGACGACGAGAATACGTACATTTGTATCCTCGGGTGAAAAACTTCTACTTGGTACTATACTAACAGGGCGAGCTGTGTTATAAATTTTATGCTAATGCTACTGGTTCGAAAATCCCAAACATAATAATATATATTATTACAAGGGCCTGTGTGTGTGTGTGTGTGTGCGTGTGTGTGTGTGTGTGTGTGTGTGTGTGTGTGATGACGCGGCGGCGATGACGACAGTCCATGCGCACTGTAACTGCTGGTGCTGCAGTTGCAGTGCATAGTATTAGTATATTAAAATATATTATACTATACATATGTATAATATAGTCACCGGGAGAACAAAAAGTATGGAAAATAAGATATGCGTATCCGCTTTGGGGTTACACGCACGATAATGCGACACCTAAATAGTATATACTTCTATTACTGTTCCGGCTGGTTAAAATAATCCGGTACGGTTGTTATGCGATGAAGGTTTAGGATTACAGTGCGTTCTATATGGTGTTACCGAAAAAAAACTCGTGTCCTCATATATTAATATATTATATATGTATATATTTATGTGTTTGTCGACCGCAAGTCTTTGGCATGCGGTGTGCTACAGCGGTGCGTGGTTCCGGACGAATAAAAAATGTTATTAAACAAATACGCCATGTTCGATTCAAATCATTTTTTTATTTTTGAACCATTCGAATATTACTTACATAATAATATATGCATAGGTTTATAATTATATTTATAGATATCAATACGCACCTGCGTGCAATAAATAACCTAAGACTGTTCAATTATAATTATATAATTATAATACCTATCATTAAAGTCTAAATCAAAAGTTTAGACATTTTTATTTTTTTATGACATTAAATCATTGTGTTTTTAAAACAATTTACAAGGTAGTTTTTGGTAGACGGACAGAAATAGTATAGAGTATAATAATTCGTAAATGTATACCCACATAAAACCAACAAAATAATTCGAAATATATTCTGCCAAGTCAATAATTTATAATGACCATCACACGTGTTTGTTTTCTAAACAAAATAAAATTAATGTGTAGTCTGTTTATTTTTCTTTGCCTCTAGACTCGTTTATATATGTTAGCGTTAATGTATGAAATTCCGTAATTCTATAGAATAACTAGTTATTTTATAAAATTACGGGTACTTTCAGTTAATGTATTGAATGAATCCATAAATATATACTTCAACTAGTTATTCTACATACCAACTAGATATTTTATAAACTAACAATAATGGTTTAGTTAATGTATTTAAAACTATTATTGAATAAAAGTTTTAATCAAATTACAAATTACAAACAAAATCAAATGTTATAGTATTAAGTCAAACAAGCCTTACAATATTATATAAAATATTAATATAAATTTATTAGAATAATTATTAAAATCTTAATCAATTTACAAATTAAAAACTCAAATATTATAGTATAAGTCAAACACACATTACATTATTATATAAAATATTAATATTAATTTTTTTTTTAAATTTACAATTTATTTATTAGTACAGGAACTTTTTGGGTGGCATTTAGAATTACAAAGTAAATTATTTTTTAAACATATGCACCGTTTTGTGGTGCACTTTTGTTGGCATGTACATTTAAAAAACCCTTGTCCATTACCAAGTGATTGGGATTCGGATGCTTTTCGAAGGCAAATATCTCCATCTGGAACGTCACTAAGCGTAATAAACTTTTCTATGCATAAACTAAATTGTGACCTCGCGTAAAGTTGTTTTAGTGTACCGTATTTAGTTCCTAAAACAAAATTATTTGAATTATTAATAAAAAAAAAAAAAAAATTATAAATAAAAAAAATTACCTAAGCGATAAAATCCGTCGGTTGTTTTTTCTAATACAATAGCAATTATAGATTGTGGATCACATTTTGACCTGTTAACATCTGGAATTTTGACTCGTACGTTACATCCTTGAAGAGCAGGTGGATGAGACATATCTGATTGTAGTTTCATTCTTTTAGCTTGACGTTCTAAGCATTCTTTTGCTTCTTCTCTTTTATTGGAAATATTTTCTTTATTTATGCAAAGTTGACACAATTCTTCCTCGGTATTCCCTTCATTTTCCATAAATATATGTTTGCATATTTTACAGTTATTTTTCTCTAAATCTTTGTTAATTTTATTATTTAAACTTTTGTCTGTATTCAAAACTTTCAAAATATTGTCTGGAGTATTTGAAGAAATTCCTACTTTTGGGGAACATCCGAACATAGCTTCATAAGGACTTCGTCCTATCCCCCTATGAAAAGCTTTATTTTTCATAAATTGAATAAACCTTAGCCCTTCACTCCATTTTGTTGTGTTGTTGTCCTTCATCCAGGTAATTATCATATTCTCTATATCTTGATTTGCCCTCTCCACTGATCCTTGGGACTGACTGTGGCGAGGTTTGCCATGAATAATAGATAATTCAGGCCACATTTCTTTTAATGAATCTATTGTTTGGTTTCTGAATTCACGACCGTTGTCACTTTGTAGTACACTTGGAGCACCGAACACCGTAAAAATATCTATGAGACAATATGCTACTTCTTCAGCTCTTTTCGATTTTAATGGTTTTAAAATACAAAATTTAGTCAAATGATCTTGATACACCAACACAAATTTATATTCACCATCAGCTTGACTTTGATAATCAATAAGATCTAATTGACATCTACTATTTAATTCAGAAAAAATCATAGGATTTGTCACGATACCTTTTTTTTCACTTTTTTGTTTTTTTACACATGATTCACATAAATTTAAAAAAATTTTGACGTTTGATTGAGTAATATTTTTATATTTTTTTTTCAGTTCATACATCATTCTGTCTCTACCACCATGTCCAATAGATAGGTGAATGTTAAGTAAAATATCATATAATTCTTCGTCGTGGACGTAAAATATAATATCAGAATTTTCTTTCATTGGACGTATAAGTTTTTCATTACCCTGCACTTCTATCACATCATACCGTTGTACTAACCAATAATCACGTGGCGATTCTTTTTTTCCTGTTTTAATACGTTTCACTTCACTTATTAAGGAATCATATTTTTCTTTCAGCAAAAACGTGCTGTTATTACGTTCTGTTGTTGTATTTTTTATAATTGTATCAAATTTGGTTTTCATTTTAAAGCACACTTATTAGTTATTACACTATACAACACTAAAAATAATTAAACTAACTAGTAAGTAAACTCGCAGTACACTGTCACACGAATAAGTCTAGTCTATGCCAAATGGTGTGGTTCAATACTATCTTATCTTATTATTTTTATTAATAACAACAACGGTAACAAATTTTGTATGTTATCTAATCCAGTCCCGGTCATATCTACCTAATGATATAAATTTCATACATTAACGAAAACCCAATCGGTATTTTATATATTAACTAGTAAAACCGTGTAATTTATATATTAACGAACATATTTAGGAATTTTATAGAATAACTAGTTATTTAATAAAATAACGTATTACATACATTACCGCTAACATATATACTTGCAAAATATGATGTGTATTATCTACCTAAATTTCGCAACCATATTTTAAAACTTTCAGTCGTCACTACAGAACGCTGTAGCGACCAAGCCCGTAATAATCTATGCTGAGCAGCAATATTATGCCCTGCAATTTAACAATTTATCAGACGAAAAACAGGAAGTCGTTCGATTCTCGGATATAGTCTAATAGAAGATGTGTGTATATATATATATAATAAGTCAGTCGCGACCTACGTCCGCGATCGGAGACTGCACAAGGAAGAAGACAATTTGTCTCGTTTAGCCAACGCGCGCGTATTATTATGGTAACAATTTTTTTTATTTTCGTGTCCCTCTAGTTACCGTGTTAATTGTGTTCGCTTCCCGCGTCCTTTTGTCTGCAAACGAACACATAACAATAATAATAATAATAATATAAAGTTCTTTTGACGAACGACTACGGCGCGGGCTACGAATAATATTGTCGGTGATTAACGACCGACGTTTTAACGCGACACGATTATTATAAACACTATTATGTTTCGCCGAGCGCACGCCACGAGAAACCAAAGTAAACCCAAAGTGGCGGGTCACTAAACTTCACATAATATAGGCGAATAGCACTGACGGGTGAGCGCGAAGCGACGACGTGACGTTGTGATGAGGCGGACCCAGTTCGTCTCCCACAGCCGATTACATATACAACAATAATAATAACACAATGTGCATACCTTTATATAATTTATAACAGATCGTGCGGACTGTATGGAGGGCTGGTGGAGGTTGGGGTCGGTATGTATATATTATTACAACCAACGAGTCTAAAGTTCTGTGAGTTTAGTTTTCGAGTTGTATGCGATGTGCATATACACGCATATACATGTATGTACATGATGCATACCTATTATAATACATATATATATATAAGCGTACTTTTGAACGGCACGAACTCCAACGATAAAACTTACACGATTGGGTAGAATTAATTAGCTTTGCAAATCTTACTTAATATACAGCGGAGCGTTATTGAATTTATACCATGTACGTATACATACATTATTCTGTATATATGCAGGGGGTCAACTTTAAAGCGCATTAGTTCTAAAATGCCTGACGAGACGTGCAGCTCTGCACTATAATATATAGCTGGCAAATGATAAATGACGTTGTCGTGTGGGGAGAGTTCGAGAAAAAAATTCAAAAAACACGGAGGAGCATTATTATATACTACGATAATACAATAAACTACTATGTAGATTGCGATCTAAAGATCGACCGATCGGTTTTCAGAGCATATACCTTCTGTTACTCGAAATCCGCCCGACCACTAATAATAATAATAATAATTATATAGTGACGAATATACGACGCGACAGCAGAAACGCCAATTATGCAAATGTCGTTCGCTCGTCTACAGTTATATAGTGGACTCTCCGCGTTTTCGAATCGATACGATAATCGAATTTCTGCAGGCAGAACACAAAAAAGGGAGGGCGGTTAAAAAAATGTCATATACAAATATATAGGTATATATACACAAAATATCCCTTTGAGTGTATATATTATTATATTATATATACTGGATTTTTTTTTGTTTCGCGTACGGTCTTTGTCAGCAGTCGGCTATATACCTATATTTTATATTATTATAAACGAAAAGCGAGTTTGCGGTGCTGCAGCGGGGTGGGGGAAAAGAGTCCGGAGCTTAACTACGCGTTATTTACCGTGTCGTCGGCAGAAAATGACAATACCGCAGCGACTATACATGTATAATAGTAATTACATACCTACATCACTACCCATACCTATATATATGTATATAAAAAATAATAACACTATATTTTTATTATTATATGTACCAACGCGGCCGATTAACCGAAAGCGCGAGTGAGATGATTTCTCGCATTCGGGATCCAATTAAAAACGCATTCTGCTCTCTCTGCGTGCGCACACAATTATTTATAAACATATATATATATATTGGTACGTGTCTAAAGATTTTCTCCCCGTTTCCGTTTTCGCTTCATTATCACACGAATCATCCGTTTTTTAACATCCGGACAGGAGTCGTGCTCGCGGTCTCCGCGCCGGTATAGGGGAGTTGTCCTATTTCGTCTCGTCATCGCCTGTACGCGCGTCGTGGTCCTAAACCGCCCAGTCGTTGCACCGACTGATGGACAGGCCATGACGTGCAATCAGTGTAAGCAGGTTTGGGCAAAAATAGGCATGTCCAGGAAAAACTAGATAAATTTATAGTGACATCATTTTTTACTCTTTCCCACCCACACACACAAACAACACGGGAAGTAAAATAAACATATTTTCAGAGCAAACACTTGTCACCAGTCTAATTAAAAATAAATAAATAAGATGACGAGGAACGAATGTAAACGACCTGCAGTCAATGCCGGATACTGAATATTTTTATACTTTGGGTAAATGGTATACAAAGTTAGTATAGAGGCGTATTTGTTATAAACTGGGGTTTTTGTTAAAATATTGAAAAAAATCTAACCTTATAACAATATTAACACATTTTTTCTTTCAAAATAGCGTGTACAGCACTTATAGCTTGGAAGCCACGAGCTGACTCCGTAGGTATATTATATGCGATAAAATAGTATACTATAATAAACTTCTAACGAACTCGTCGTCTCATTCACAACATCTATTTAACGCGGTATCGTCGCAAGAAATGATAATTAATATTTCACGGTTTTGTGGGTTTTTTTTTTAACGCAGACACGCGGACGACACTCACCCGGGTCGTTGTATACATATTATTATTATTCTCTCGCGGGACGAGTACCTTTACTACGACCGCGACGGTGTTATGACAGCGAGCGGCCGTGAAATCTCATCGAGTCGCTGCGGTGGTAAACGTTTTTCGTCGTCGTTATTATATTCTTATTATTATACAATCTGTTTTTTTTTTCGTCGAGCCGCGGGGGCACGATGCACTGCTCACACGTGGCCGCCCGAATAAATCGTTTTGTACGCGTATTATATTTTAATATTATAAGCCATTAAGAGTGTATTATTTCACGCGCTTTGGACAAGGTGATTCGTGCGGTGGCGTTAAATTGAAATCGGACGCATACATTATTGCGTATATGTATATAACATAGCGTTCTCCTCTCGCAGATATCGTCGGCGTTTGTTCTATTGCAGCTTACTTGAAAAAAAAAAAAAGAAATAATAATCGATTGCCGAATACCTACCTACTCTATGTCGATCCCATACTGGGTTATGTTGCCCACTATCCGCGGTAGCAGCATTATATAATATGTATATTATTTTAAGCCATTATATTATAGAGGAAACGTTTAACACTATTTACCATTCATCGTTGAATATAATAGGTGGTAGGTGCACTGTTCAAATATCAAACGTCGACGGAAGTACTTTTAACAGGCATATTTCTTACTGACCACGCTTAGAAATCAATTATTTAAAACTTGTTTTGAATTAATGAAAATATAATATGTATGTGTATAATAAACGTCACAACACCGGAAATATAATAATATATTAATGTATAAATTAAATGCAACAAGCATACGAGATACAATGTTCCCAAAAATAATGTATTGAAATTAGGTATAAGTACCCATTATAGTTCAGAGTAACGCAACGTGTTTTAGACCACATAGAGGATAATGGAACATAGAAAAATAAATAATACCGAACATCTATATATTATTAGGTAGATTGTACATGTACAAGGAATCCGCATCACGAAAAAAACATTGAAATGTATAGAGGTGTTTTATGTGAATGCTCGTGTTACACTTAGTCCAATTCACTTGGTTACCGCCCAAACACTGTTTGCCCGAGGTGTCAGTACGATTCACATGTATGTTATGTGTGGTGTATATATATATATATATATACTGTATAATATAGCCACACCGACATATATATTTTTTTATCCAATCCTGAAAAACGTCATCGTTCCGAACGGTTCCTGTCAGAATGATCTTTTTCTCTTTTGAGTGGACTAAAGTAATAACTTTAAGAGGTAAGGTACTGGGCTTATTATGTTTGCGTATATGAAGGAAGAAGAAACAAGGAGTTAATTGAAAAAATGCCAGACCTCCTGAATTGGATTTGCCAACCCTTTATTTAATTTTGTTTTTTCTCGAGCTGTCCACTTCCAACTAAAACAAATAAATCTGCTAAACGAAAGCTACGGTTTTTCAATTTAATTTTACAAAATTATATTAAATATTTGTAGGTATTTTATACATCATATATATAATATAAGAATAGTTTTGAATTGTACCCCGGAATTCCGTAACAGGTATGCGAGGTTATAATATTTTATTCCTGCTACTTATGTAGTTATGTAAATAACCCAATACCTTCCTTGACGTAAAGGAAATAAAGTTTTGTACCTGCAGTACCTATACGTATTTGAGTATCCAAGTCGATTATTGTACACAGTGACATATCTAATAGTAGGTAGGTACATGTATATTTTATAGTTCATACTCAAATAATAAATATTCCTGGCACAATGACATCGAAATAATGACATTAAACCACTCAAAGGATTTATAAAGAAATAAAATCGTTAGCCGTTTGCGTGGAAAATAAAAGTTACGCACCCGAACAAATTTCACAGACAATAAACCTCAAACGTGTACACGACGAATTTAGTGCCATTTTTTCCCGTGGAATTGGATAAAGACGTATACCGAGATTTCAAAAGACAGCTAAGAAATATATGATGTTAATAAATTACACGTCTAATTTTATATATATATATATATATATATAAACATAAAAAAAAGTATTAAATAAAAAAACAAGTAGCGAACACACAAAACAAAAACGGCAAGAGACGAGTTCATTTACTAAAAAGCAGAACAGCCCTCTCCTGCGCGTCATTCATATCCGAAGTAATTAGTGTTTGGTTTCTCTTAACCCTTTTTATTTTATATTAAATTTCGCTGGTAATATTTTCGTCTTTAGTATAAAAACAAACAATTCTCAATGGGTCAGCAAATAA